AAAGCATGCAGAGAACAGGATTCCCAATCTTTTCCCACATGTTCTGGGTTTCTGTCTTCCCCCCCACGCTTTCCCATATTTTCCTGGGAGTCGACGACTCATTGTGTCGGTGTGTTTTTCCGCCTCCTGATCATCGTGCTCGTTCTCCTCGCCCTCCTTCTCGTCCCTGTCGTCCTCGTCGTCCCCGTCGCTCTCGTCGTCCTCCTCCTCCTTCTCGTCGGCCGCGTCGCCTCGTCCTCCTCGTTGTCCGTGTCGTCCGCGTCCCCCGCCCAGGCCCCCGACGTCGTGCATTTTTTTTTGGCTGGCGTGGGCCCCCGGCGGTCCGGACCCGCCCCCCAGGACAATGCCTTCGTTCCGACTCGTCCTTTCCTGCGTCATGACTTTTTGATCGCGTGGGCCCCCCGGCGGTCTGGACCCGCTCCCCCAGGACGGCGGTTTCGTGCCGCGTCCTTTCTTGAACGGCCCCGAGGGCCAGGTAGGGCCCCCGTGCGGACGATATAGTGAGAAGCCTCCCGCCGTGCACTCTGTCACGGCTCGAGGGGGTCCGGGGGCCCCATCGCGGTGCGGGGCGTCGGCCCGGACCGCCGCCGTCCCTGATCCGACGTCTCGAAGAAGACCCACCAGCCCTGGTCTGACGAGTTCTGCCTTCCCCCCTTCCACAACCCCTCTTGCCTTTGGGGAGGGGCACCTGGGTACCCTCCCCATCCGCTGCCTGAGAGTTTTTGTTGCGAGCCGCGAGCGGTCGGGGCGCCCAAGACGGCGTCAAGAGGGCATCCGATGCGCAAAGATGGCCTCCAAGGCGGCTTAAGATAGCCGAAGATGGTTCAATATAGCTTCAGACTTACCTCCGGGAGGCCCGACGAGGGCCACAAGACGATTCCAAGATGGCCCCAGGAGGCCTTCCGAGGCCCTAGGAGCGCCAAGAGGGCCCCAAAAGGGCCGCAAGACGGCCCCAAGACCCCTAAGAGCGCCCAAGAGCGCCCCCCGAGGGCCCCAACAGGCGGTTCGTCTCCTCCCCGATTTTTATCCTTATAACTAACTTCTCCCTGCCGCACCCCGAAGCTTGTTTTTAGGGCGGGCCGGACGTTTCGCCTGAGACCTCCTCACTGTTGATGACCCTGGAGCTTAAAAAATGGCAGAAGTTTCACGGATTCAGGGTGGGTGGTTTTCGAACTCTGGCTCTCGCCTAAGCTTCGCGCGCATTTTTTTAAGATCAAGAAATAGCAGAAGTTTTACGGATTGGGGGCGGGTCGCTTTCAAAGTGTGGCTCTCGCCTCAGCGCCGCGCATGTTCGTTTCAAAAAGTGGCAACGGTTTCACGGATTGAGGGCGGGTCGTTTTCAACATGTGGCTCTCGCCTTAGCGCCGCGCACATTCGTTTTCAAGCTTTGCAAGAGCTTCACGGATTGAGGGCGGGTCGTTTTCAACATGTGGCTCTCGTTTTGGCGCCGCGCACAAGCGTTTTCAACATTTGCGAAAGCTTCACGGATCGAGGGCGGTTCCTTTTTCAAATGTGGCTCTCGCCTTAGCGCCGCGCACATTCGCTTTAAACATTTGAACACATCTCACGGGTTCACGATCAACGTGTCGAAATGGCGTTCTGGAAAGATTCAGGGTTGTCAGGGCGCCACAGTTCGATTGACTCGCGGTGCTGAAGTCGCAGGAATGGATTTCTGGCAGGATCCAAGATCGTCAAGACGCAACAGTCAGGCTGATCCGTGGCGTTGGAGTCCCGAAAAAACATGTTTTGGCATTCTTCAAGGTCTTCAAACGGTTGTCTTCCAACGAGGTAGTTCCTAAAGTGGACATGAACCGTTGCAGGGGCCAATGAAGAGGGAGCTTGGAGGGAGGTTTTTTTTGTTGTTCCCCACATGCTTGGTGGGGTTATGGTTTTCTTCTCTGCCGCGGCGCACCCGCGTCTCCTCCTTCGCGCGCCGCGCCCGCGCCGCACGCCTCCCTCCCTGCCCCCTCTCCTTCTCAAGCAGCACAGCATAACACAGCGCAGCGGAGCACAGCACAGCACAGCCTAGCAAAGCTCAGCACAGCACACAGCTGCACATCACAGCACAACGCAGCACAGCACGGCGCAGCACAGCACGGCTGAGGTGGGGTCTCCGAGCGCGGCGTCTATGCGGGCCATGGCGCAGGGCGTGGCAGGTGTGGCACTTTCTCGATCTCGTAGGGGGTGCGCTGGGGGTGGTTTCCGAGCGCGGCGTCTATGCGGGCCAAGGCGCAGGGCGTGGCAGGTGTGGCACTTTCCTCACCCCGTAGGGGGTGCGCAGGGGATGGTCTCCGAGCGCGGCGTCTATGCGGGCCATGGCGCAGGGCGTGGCAGGTCTGGCACTTTCCTCAACCCGTAGGGGGTGCGCAGGGGGTGTCTCCGAGCGCGGCGTCTATGCGGGCCATGGCGCAGGGCGTGGCAGGTGTGGCACTTTCTCGACCTCGTAGGGGGGTGCGCTGGGGGTGGTCTCCGAGCGCGGCGTCTATGCGGGCCATGGCGCAGGGCGTGGCAGGTGTGGCACTTTCCTCACCACGTAGGGGGTGCGCAGGGGGTGGTCTCCGAGCGCGGCGTCTATGCGGGCCATGGCGCAGGGCGTGGCAGGTGTGGCACTTTCTCACCTCGTAGGGGGTGCGCTGGGGGTGGTCTCCGAGCGCGGCGTCTATGCGGGCCATGGCGCAGGCGTGGCAGGTGTGGCAGTAGGGGGTGCGCAGCGCGGCGTCTATGCGGGCCATGGCGAAGGGCGTGGCAGGTGTGGCACTTTCACGCAGGGGGTGGTCTCCGAGCGCGGCGTCTATGCGGGCCATGGCGCAGGGCGTGGCAGGTGTGGCACCCCGTAGGGGGTGCGCAGGGGGTGGTCTCCGAGCGCGGCGTCTATGCGGGCCATGGCGCAGGGCGTGGCAGGTGTGGCACTTTCTCACCCGTAGGGGGTGCGCAGGGGGTGGTCTCCGAGCGCGGCGTCTATGCGGGCCATGGCGCAGGGCGTGGCAGGTGTGGCACTTTCTCGACCTCGTAGGGGGTGCGCAGGGGGTGGTCTCCGAGCGCGGCGTCTATGCGGGCCATGGCGCAGGGCGTGGCAGGTGTGGCACTTTCTCGACCTCGTAGGGGGTGCGCAGGGGGTGGTCTCCGAGCGCGGCGTCTATGCGGGCCATGGCGCAGGGCGTGGCAGGTGTGGCACTTTCTCGACCTCGTAGGGGGTGCGCAGGGGGTGGTCTCCGAGCGCGGCGTCTATGCGGGCCATGGCGCAGGGCGTGGCAGGTGTGGCACTTTCTCGACCTCGTAGGGGGTGCGCAGGGGGTGGTCTCCGAGCGCGGCGTCTATGCGGGCCATGGCGCAGGGCGTGGCAGGCACGGTATATTCTCGACACCACCTGGGGTGCGCAGGGAATGGTCCCCGAGCGGGGCGTTTATTCTATATGCGCCCATGTCGCAGGGCCTGGCAGGCGTGGCACTTTCTCGACACCACCGGGGGTGCGCAGGGGATGGTCTCTCTATACGCGCCAATGTCGCAGGGCCTAGCAGGCGTGGCACTTTCTCGACACCAGCGGGGGTGCGCAGGGGGTGGTCTCTCTATACGCGCCCATGTCGCATGGCCTAGCAGGCGTGGCACTTTCTCGACACCAGAGGGGGTGCGCAGGGGGTGGTCTCTCTATACGCGCCCATGTCGCAGGGCCTAGCAGGCGTGGCACTTTGTCGACACCAGCGGGGGTGCGCAGGGGGTGGTCTCTCTATACGCGCCAATGTCGCAGGGCCTCGCAGGCGTGGCCTACAAGGGGGTGCCTTGGGGGTGCGGTCGCTCTCTGTTTCGGGCTCGCAAAGTGTGGCTGGCGCGGCGCTTCTCCTCTTCCACCTCTCCTCTTGAGTGGCGTCACCAACGGTATCGGCGGGGCAACGGCCACCAACGTCATTCTCACATGCTTCACTTCAGCCATCATCACTCCAGCCATAATATAAGTATGTGGGGTTCCTCGGTAGCGTATGTTTTTTTCTTTGTTTCGCAAGCGCGGTTGGCACAACTTTCTCAGTGCCCCATGCGTACATCAGAAAAGCTGAGGGGCTAGCTGCCAGCAGAGGGGTGCACCTGCGCGAAGACGTCACAAACGCAGCTAAGAAAAGACGTGCAAAAACACGCGCCAAGGTCAACAAGCCCGGCTGCTTGAATAAGCCTTGCCGGTATGCCGCTGTCCTGCTTGGTAATTGCGCAGATCTTTGCCTGATAACTCCCCGACGACTCAACACAGACTCGAATAATGAAATGGCATGACAGACGTTTGTCGTGTTCGAAACGCCGTCCGCAAAATATGGCTGACGCTCCGCCGTCTCATCCCCCACCCGCCCCTGATACCCACCTACCTGCCACGTACTCCCCCCACCCACACCTCCACTCCCAACCCGCTCATCGAACTACCGTGCAATGCGCAAGCGGGACACGGGCAAAGGGGAGAACCGGAGAGGGGATGAGTCCTTCAGCAAAACCATCCTCAGAGCTGAGCTGCTCAGCTGCTGCTGCTGCTGTCACTGCTGGGCTTTCCTAGCGTAGACACTCGCACGAACGCGTCGGCCGTCCTTGGCCTCTGAACATCGAGAAAGGGGCTAAGACGGCAACAGCTCCTATGCGCCACGCTGCAGACCGGGGCAAGTTTTTGTTTCGTAAGCGCGGTTGGCACAACTTTCTCGGTGCCCCATGCGTGCATCAGAAAGGCTGAGGGGCTAGCTGCCAGCGAAGGGGTGCACCCGCGCGAAGACATCGCAAACGCAGCTAAGAAAAGACGTGCAAAAAGACGCGCCAAGGTCAACAAGCCCGGCTGCTTGAATAAGCCTTGCCGGTATGCCGCTGTCCTGCTTGATAATTGCGCAGATCTTTGCCTGATAACTCGCCAACGACTCAACACAGACTACAAAAATGGAATGGCATGACAGACGTCTGTCGTCTACGAAACGCCGTCCGCAAAATATGGCTGACGCTCCGCCGTCTCATCCCCCCCCCCGCCGCCACAACATACACCCCCCACCCGCACCACCGCCCCAACAGTCCCAACAGGCTCATCGAACTACCGTGCAAAGCGCAAGCGCGATACGGGCAAAGGGGAGAAAAGGAGAGGGGATGCATCCGCGAGCAGAACCATCCTCAGAGCTGAGGTGCTCAGCTGCTGCTGCTGTCACTGCTGGGCTTTCCCAGCGTAGACAACATTCGCACGAGCCCGTCGGCCGTCCTGGGCCTCCGAGCATCGAGAAAGGGGCTAAGACGGCAACAGCTCCTATCTGCTACGTCGCAATCCACACACCCACCACTTTCCCAACCCCGCCGCTCCCTCATCCGTGCGCACCAGTGGATCTGGGGAGACTACTCAATGGGACAGGGAGGGGGAAGAGGGAAGCAGCTCCCATCTGGGTAGAGCAACGTAGCGCCTGAAAATACGCACCGCACTGTTCCCGAAACTGTGATTGCACTGACGAGTTCTCCTTCTTGTCCTTGTACCGCACAAAACCGCCTTCCAGGGCGGTGTAAGAACTCCGGATGCCTCAAATGTATGTGGTCTGAGTGATTGCGCACCCGAAGGCCTTGGGGACATCGACTGGGTAGAAATATTCCGGGACCCAACCACTGCTTCTCCGATCACCAAAAGCCTCATACACCATCGCCCGTGTTTGATTGAGGCTGGCTTGAAATTCAAAGACGGCAGATTGGAGCGCTGCCTGTGTTGCCGAATCGCCCTTGACATTGTACGGGCCGTCACCCAACTGAGGTACGTCCCAGGTAAAGCCTGAACTAACTCGATAGTTGACAAGAAAACTCAAGGCAAATCTCGAATCTATGGTGATGTTGGGGTAGAGTTCTATCAGGACTTCGTTGAGTGACACATCACCTTCGCCTTTGCCTGTCAAGTATGGCATGAACTCTTCGGTGCTCGCCCAGCCTACCAGAGGTGTGAAGACCTCCCTTCCTGCGTACATGTGCGTGTGGAGAATGCCTGCCACGAACAACAAGTTAGTGAACAGCGTGATCAAGCCATCAACTGTGCTGACATCCAAAGACGCCGTTGATTCCATAATACCAACGCTCTGCAGCTGAGCCTGCAATTCGGCAAGGCTTTGCTGGGACTGCTCAAAGACCTCGTTGGCAACAGACGCAACAAAATTCGAGATGGGCCCAATAAAAGCGGAAGACATGCCGGCCCACCAAGTGGGGATCGTGAAATTTCCTGATGGGTCCATCCCCAAGTATTCGAGTGGCGTGCTGCTGAGGAAAGCACGGGCCATATCCGTCGTGGCGGCCTGAATTGCAGATATGTTCTCCGTAGGCCAGACCAGACCGTCAAAGCCAGAATTATGGTCAGAGTGGAGGATGGCAGCCTGCTCAAAGAGAGTAAAGGTGGTCTGAACCGTGTTTGGGCCCATCATGCTTCCCAGAGCGGTGGCAGGGGGTACGGACATCTTGAGAGCCGAGATCACGGTTCCAACGAACAGGTGGAAGCCTCCATGGAAACACTCCATTACAAACAAGGCCTCTGCAAAGAGCGCCATTTTCGCGAGGCTCCAGTGCGTGTCGGAAGACCTCGATTCGAAAGACATCCAAGTGCCTGTCGAAGGCTCCAACACCTCCACCCTCACAAGGGTCAAGCCGGAAGCTCCGTCTCTGATATAGCCCCGCGTCTTGAGCAGAACGCTGGGCACTAAGGCCACAGCCTTCCTTTTCAACACTTGCATCAGCTGTGTGGAAGTCCCAGAGTCACTAAGGTCCAACACTAGCTCGCCAGAAGCCGTGGCTTCCAGTATGCACGCCAGAAAGGAGTGCCCTATGTACTGCCCTGCAAATGCGTCTCCTTTCCATCTGCCTTTATTTCCTTGCACGAAACTCAAACTATCTTCGACGCCTGCGCTCATGGTGTTAACCTCATCAGCGATCTTCAGCATCGTGTCGTGGTATGTTGCGCCGTTGAGAAGTGGCACTGGCTCTAAAGCATCGGCTGTGGATGCTGCAATTTGCATGTGAATGAAGGAAGCCTGGCGAGCATTGAATTCAGTCTGCCAATTAATGAAGAAGCTGTACTCCGTCATTGAGTAAGGAATGAAACTGATCTTTGAGAACGCATCAGGAAGGAGGGTGCCTGGATAAGATGTGCTCCCAGACATAGGCGTGATAGTGGCAAAATCTATATGTTCGACCATTTCAAGGGGAAGCGTTTGGGTGTTGGACGTTGGATAGTCGTATATGAGACTATCCGCGATTCGCGCTTTCAGGTAGGCAGCGATCCGAGGCTGCATCAAATGGAGCTCAAACTTCTGCTTCGCGGATAGGTCTTGCAAAGGTGTTCTGCATTCAAGACGGTTTAAAGGATTGCAAGGAATCCTCGCGTGCTGAAGCAGAACGGGCGAATCTGCTTCTGGCTCCTCATCCTCGCAGCCCTCGGACTTTACCACCTGGGTGAGAGCGGCGACCAAGAGCGCTGCAACCACCGATGCACGAACCATCGGCCTACCAACTTTGGGTGAGGCGCCCTGTTGCACACCGTGCACGGCGCCCAACATGTCCTCGTGTGCCAAAACTGCTCTTGAGCCAAAATGACTACGGAAAACATCGTTGATGACTCTTGGGTTTACACTGGTCCTCCCCCTCCTCATCCTCCTCACTTCGCACTCCCGCGGGTCCAAGGGATTGCCCGAAGAGGCCCTCCAAGGCCACCCCCTTGCTTCCAGAGATCTCCCTGTTCATCCCGGTTGCCCGCTTTGTTCCACCATTTGTCACTTCGTCCCTTTTCCCGTCAGCTCTCATGGACAAGGTTTCTGAATGGGCTGGTGTGGGTACGCGAAGTGTGAAGAGTCAAAACATTGTGAAACATCACTTCTGGAGCCCTAGACCACATCTCTCTGCGCCCCTTGTCGAGCCGGATCGATCCGTGAGGGCCCCCGGGGCCCGAATGTGGGCGAACACGCCCGCCGGGGAACAAGCCAGGATCGGGGGCGCACAAACATGGATCGGGGGAGGTGCCCTCCCCAAAATGCGGCCGGTGCCGCCTCGCTCTGCGAGTTCCCATGGAAGCGGGACCCGTGGCTAATCCACGCCCCCTTGATCTATATCTGCGATCGCCAGGATCTCAGAGGGTTCGTCCGACCCGATCGCGGTGCGTAGCGTCGGCCTGGACCGTCGCCTCCGGCTCCGGCGCCAGCGCGGCGGCCGCCGACGCGCGCGGCGCCTCCGACGCCAGGGGCGCCTCGGCGCTCTGCGAAGTGGCGAGCGAGTCGCCGCTGTGGCGGGTGACCGCGCTGCGCTGCGAGGTCGACTGCCGCGCTGGGGGCTGGAAGGATGTGGACGCCTGGTGGGATGCTCCTCCTCCTCCTCTCCTCCTCCTCCTCCTCCTCCTCCTCCTCCTCCTCCTCCTCCTCCTCCTTCCCTCCTCCCCCTTCTCGTCTCTCCTTATCGCTCTCCTCCTCGTTCTCCTCCCCCCCGGTTCCCTCGCAGGGCTCCCGACCCCTCCTCTTGCTAATTACCTCCACAGGCACAATTGGCCCCAAGATGGGCTCTGTCTGGGCCCAGAAGATTGTGTTTTCACGGGTGGATCGGCCTTTGAGGGCCACATCCCTACTCTGAGGGTGGTGGGATGATTGGTGGTGGTTGTTTTTTTTATGGGGGCGGGAACGAGCAACATGTCCTTTGGGGGGTGGTGCCGCTGGCCGAGGCCCCCCTCCAAGTGGCTAGAGACGGCGAAGACTACGCCGTCCTCCAGCTCACACGCCACGCTGTGCTATCTGAAGGGTGCTCTTTGAATATCCGCTGAGCCTGTCGGCGTGTGTGAGGGGCTTGGCTGTTCGAGTCGCCGTCTCCGTCAGTCGTCGTCTCCGTCGTCCCCTTTCACTGCGCCCCTCCTCCTCAAGCTAGTCAGCGAGAGAAAAATCTAGCAATGTCGCAATCGAGTCGAAGGGAAGCCCCTTACACACGGATCGGGGGAGGTGCCCTCCTCAAAATGCGGCCGGTGCCGCCTCGTTCGGCGGCGGATATATGCGATTTCCCATGGAAACGGGACCCGTCGCTAATCCACGCCCCCTTGACCCATGTTTGCGATCGCCTGATAGGAATGTGAGGGGCAACGCTAGGGGGGACCAGCGCAGGGGGCGAAGCATCGACTGGGAATCGGTGATAGATTGCCTACAGATCGGCGATGAGCCCCCGATAACACATCCGCACTGTCCTGGGCCCCTCTCGGCGATGAATGAGCGATTGTGGGTCGATGCATCCCTCCCTGAGCCTTAGATGCTCGTTCTGGCGACCTTCCCGAAGCCACTCGCTTCACTCGTCCGTCGATGCGACGTCGAACGTACGTCGGCTTGAATCGAACCTGAGCCGAATTCTAGTCGAGCTAGAACTGAACCAGAGTCCAAAGAAAACCGGACTGGAGTCGCACCGATCCGATGGGCGGGCCGCAGGACACAAACGAACACCTGATGAGCCGATCCTGGGTTGGGCGGCCTTCTCTAAAAAGGCAGGAGGGCGGCCTTTTCTAAGAAGGCAGGATGGCTGCTTATAAGCCCAACTCGACTCCTCGGCTTTGAAAAAAACAAGAGGCATCAACGATGTTTGAATAAACCCTCCTTCCAAGCTCCCTCTTCATAGACCCCCTGCAACTGGTCATTCTTACTGAAGGAACTGCCTCGTTGGAAGACAACTGGTTGAAGACCCTGAAGCATGCCAAAACATTGTTCTCGGGATCCCAACGCCACGGATCAACCTGACAGATGCGTCTTCCTGGCTCGTGCCAGAACGCCATTCCTGGGACATAAACACCGCGAACCAACATAGCTTGTGCACCCCCCATAAGCCTGAATCCTTCCAAAACAACATCCATGGTACGCTGATCATGGGACTCCGTGAAACCCTTACAAATGATATTAAAAAAAAAGATGTGCGCGGCGCTAGGGCGAGAGCCACATTTTGAAAAGGAGCCACCCTCAATCCGTGAAACTCTTGCATGTTTTAAAAACGAGTGTGCGCGGCGCTAAGGCGAAAACCACATTTTGAAAAGGAACCGCCCTCAATCCGTGAAGCCCTTGCAACTGTTGAAGACGAGTGTGGGCGGCGCTGATACGAGAGTAGCATGTTGAAAACGACTCGCCCTCAATCAATCAGACTCTTGTATGTTTTACGACGAGTGTGCGCGGCGATCAGGCGAGAACCACATTTTGAAAAGGAGCCGCCCTCAATCCGTGAAGCTCTTGTACATGTTTAAGTCGAGTGTGCGCGGCGCTAAGGCGAAAACCACATTTTGAGAAGGAACCGCGCTCAATCCGTGAAGCCCTTGCAAATGTCGAAGACGAGTGTGCGCGGCGCTGAAGCGAGAGCCGCATTTTGAAAACGACTCGCCCTCAATCCATCCAACTCTTGCAAATCCCACCAGCCCTCTGGGCGTAGGTGGTTTAGGGCGTTTCCTCTTCCACCCCTCCTTCTTCCCCTTCGGGGATGGGTTTATCACTGTTCCCTATTAGTATACACTCCCTCCCCAGGCGACTGGGAGCCAACCGGGGTCAATGCGGGCCCCCACCCCACCATCCCTTGTGAAAAATAATACAGAGCACAATCTGCCTCCAAATTTGGAAAATGCGCAGCGTACCCGATGCGGCCTCCCCCCACCATTCCTTTCAAAAAACAATGCAGAGTACACTTGGCGGCGGCGGCGGCTGTGGCGGGGGCAGCGGCTGCGGCGGCTGCGGCGGTGGCGGCGGCGGTTGCGGCGGCGGCGGCGGGGGCGGGGGCGGCGGCGGCGGCGGTGGCGGCGGCGGCGACGACAGCAACGGTGGCGGCAGCGGCTGCGCCGGTAGCGGCTGCGGCGGCGGCGATTCGGCAGCGGCGGCGGCGGCGGCGGCGATGGATTCGCCCCCAATACCTTCCCATCCAAAGACGACTGCTGAATATGCTGCGGCTCGGGCCAGGCTCGGGTGCTACGTATGTGTTGGGAGGGCGGGTGGGAGTGAGCGAAACGGCTTGCGGGCGGGGAGGGAGTCTCGCTTCCCCTACCCCCTCCCCTGGACCTGGACAAAAGGTTTCGCGAGGTGCCGGAACGTCCAAAACGGCCTCGGCGAGGACGCCAAAATCATTGGTTCCACTAAGGGTTTGGCCCCATATTGGCCTCCTGAGGGGGGGGCCCTAATTAGTGACCCCCCCTTCTGTGATCGATCTCACCCAAGATGGCAGCCCCCAAGGCTCCCAAGGGTGCCCCATGAGGTCCCCAAGAGGTGGCCAGGAAACCCCAAGAGGCCCCCAGGATGCCCCCAAGAGGCTCCCAAGAGACCCCCAAGAGGCCCCACGAGACCCCCCAGAGGCACCCAAGATGCTCCAAGAGGCCTCGGCGAGAATGCCCAATCATTGATTCTACCAAATTTTTGCCACATGTTGGCCTCTTTGGGGGGGCACTGATTAAGATGACTTCGAGAGCGCCTGGGAGAGCCCAAGATGACCTCCAAGATGGCTCAAGATATCCCAAGATGTTTCAGAATGGCTCCCACGATGCTCCAAGATGCCCCAAGACCGCTCCAAGACGGTTCCAAGTGGCCAAAGAACTCCCGCAGGAGGCCCCGAAGAGGCCAAAACCTTAGGAACATCCATGTGTTTAGCTTTCTCGCCTTTTCGCTTCCGATGGCCATCCGAGGCCTCAAGATGGCTCCAAGATGGCCCAAGACGGCTCCAAGAGAGGTTCAAGAGAGCCTTGTTGGGCTCCCGAGGGGCAGCGCTAACTAATGCTCGCTTCTTGTTTGCTCGATGTCCTCCAAGATGGCCCCAAGAGCGCTCCCAAGGCTCCCAAGAGCGCTTCAAGAGGGCCCCAAGAGGCGCCCAGGAGGCCCCAACAGGCGCCCAAGAGGCCTCCAAGATGCTCCCAAGAGACCCCAAGAGGGCCCAAGCTCTCCGAGGCACCCAAGACGCTCCAATAGGCCTCCACTGGGGAACCTTTTTTTTGTGTGCTGCCCACTTCCCTGATCGAGGCAATTCCTCTGGGCATCATTTCTGGATGGGCTGGTGGGGTTACTTTTTGTCAGCGACCGCAGGCGAGCGCGCCAGCGGCGAGTCGAGTCAGAGCGGGCCGCGCAAAGACGAATTAACCTAAAGCGGTGGGCCGGAGCCTCACGCGGCACCTCGGCGGCCAGGTCGGCGAGTGGAGGGGTGCTGGCGGCGGCTGCCAGGGAAGCTGCACTGCCAGGGGTTGCGCGCATGCAACGAACTGCAGAGAGGCTGACTGCCAGGGGGGCCGACTGCCAGGATCTGCAAACAGCTGAATTGGATTCAAAGTGTGAGCACTCTAAGGACTGCAAAGTACCAGCTGGTGGGATTACGCGAAGCGTCTGGAATTCTTAAAACGAATGTTCACGGCGCTGAAGCGAGACCCATATTTTGAAAAACCACCCGCCCTCCATCTGTGAAGCTGTTTTCAATTTGTAAGCTTCAGAGGGTGAGGAGGTCTCAAGCGAAACGCCCAGCCCGCCATAAAACTGGCCTCGGGGTGCGACAGGAGACATGATTCATTTATAAGGAGAATGAATTGAGGAGGTGAAGGAGGAGGAGGAGGAGGAGGAGGAGGCTCGGAGGAGGAGGAGGAGGAAAAGGAGGAGGAGGCGGAGGAGATCCCCCTCCAACGTTGGCCCTGAGGTTGGCGCCCTCCGAGCCTGGGTGCCCCGGGAACTGGCGCCGACCGCGGTGCGGGACCTCATGGGCTGCAGCGGCGCTGCGGCGCGCGTCGGTGCCCCCGTGGTGCTCGAGCCAGCGTTGGGGGCGGACGAGAGGGAGCGGATCACGAGCGGCGAACGGATCCATACCGAGAGGTCCGACGCTGCAACAAAAATTGGAGCAGGCGGATTGGGGCTGTTTTCGGCCTCCAGGGGCCCTCGCCGGGCCTCGGGACTGTCAAGAACGGCCTGGGACGTCAAGCTGGCCCTGGGGAAGTGTCCAAGCCTCCGGGGCCCACGCATCGAAAAACATTGAACAGCCGGCTGCCCGGGTGTGCACGCGCTCGCGGTCGCGATCCCGTGGACACGCGTTCGCACGCATACGCCCCGCGCGGGGCCTCCAGGAAAAGACGGCCCAGATCCGCGCGGTCGCGGCCAAGGGGCCCGGCCCGCGAGGCCGTGGATGCGGAGACGGTCCCCGCCCCCCAAGCGGAGCCCAGGCCTCCAGCGTGCTGGGCAGCTCACGGCAGAATCCCTTCGCCGTCTGCGGCCTCTGCAGGGGCACTCGCCGGGCCCCGGGGCACCGTCAGAGGACGACTCGGGGAGGAAGGTCTCGACCCGGGGGAAGGGGTCGGGACTCCCAGGGCCCCCGTGGTGGACGAGTCAAGGCGTCGGACCTCCGGGGAGCGGAGCGGGAACCTCGCGGCGAGATCCATCGACGTGCCGCGCGGGTCATAAATGCAGCAGGAGAGCCCAGAATCGAATCGGTGAGTCGGATCGGTGATCGAAATGAATCGGATCGGCGGAAATCGGCAGTCGAGTCGGGAGAAGTCGAATCGGCAGAAAGCGGCAGGCTAATATGCCTCCGTTGGGAAACCAGAATCCTGATCGGAATCCGAAATCGAATCGAAGTCGGAATCGGAACCCATCGAAATCGAATCGGATCGAATCGGGAAACACGAAATGAGCCCTGGTGCAAGGGGCCTCGGGCGGTCAGGCATCGGACTCACGCAGAACGCACGCCAGCCCCACTTTTTTTGCCGGGCCGAGGGCGACCCAGATGAGAAGGGGGGGGGAGGGGTTCGAACTGGTAGTGACCCCCCCCGGTTTTCCGGAGGGGGGTGTGGGAGGGGTTCGAACCGGTAGTGACCCCCCCCGGTTTTCCGCCAGCAGCGGTAGAACACGCTCTTTCCGACATCGGGAGGAAGGGGGGGGGGAGGGGGGGGGAGGGCTCTGAACCTCTGCTTGGTGCGACTGTTTGGGACCGCGCGTCCTACGGGGGAGGCCTCACCTGCAACAGTGTCGGACGAGGGTCCCCCAGGGGCCGACACGTGAGAACCCTTGAGTTGCTGTGTACTCTTCTGGCGCTCGAAATTCTTTTTGGTGGTCAAGGGTAAAGGAGGTTGGAACATCATAAGCCCGGAGGCGAATGGGGAGGGAGCTCGTGCTGTTCGCGCCGCGCGCCGTGCGCGCCGCTCTCGCTGCGGCAGGCCACCTCCCTCGCGGCCCTTCGCGGGCTGCCCCAGCCCCGGCTGTGCTCCCTCTCCTCCCACGTCTCCTGCCTCTCTCTCTCTCTCTCTCTTTCGGAGGAGGAGGAGGAGGAGGAGGAGGAGGAGGAGGAGGAGGAGGAGCTCTCTCTCTCTCTTCGTTGCTGCTTCCCTCTCTCTCTCTCTCTCCCTTGGTTTCTCTCTCCCCCTCCCTCTCGAGCCTGCCGTGCCAGCGTGTCCGGCGGCCGTGCGCGCCTGCCTGCTGCGCCCTCGAGCCGTCGATGCCGGCCGCGCGTCTGCCGATCCCTCGAATCGGGGGTCCACAACGAAGGCCTGCTTCCCAGATTGAAGGGGCCCAGTGACACACAAACGGGTAGACTTAGGTCGGGCGTGTCCTCCTACAGGGGGGTTTCAGACGGAAAATAACAGGTAGCTAAACAATACCCAACAATAATCAAGAAGTCGTCCCCTGGCTATTTGTTTAAACTATCTTTTATTACTCCTTCTGTAGAGGGACATGCCCGAAATAAGGGTAGACATACATCTCAATCTTTCCCTACACTTTTCCGTATCTTACAGCTTGGTTGTTCCCCTCCACTTCCCATGCCGTATTTTCCAAAATGTCCCTGGGAATCGGCGATCATCTGTTTCTGTGCGTTTCTTTCCCTCCTGGTCGATCCACTGGGGGAACCTGTTCTATCGAAGACTCCTCCACCGCGGCGTCGAAGCCGAAGTGTTCCCCCCCTGAAGGTGGGGAAAAACCACGGCCCCCCCCCCCTTTGTGGCCAGTCTGTTAGGGGCCTGGACAGATTCTGGAGCTAAGCTAAGTCGGGCCTGTCCCCCCACATGCCGATTTTGGGTGAAAAACAAAAATCCCCTAAAAGTTATCCAAAATGGTCAAAAAATACTCAAGTCGTCCCCTACTATTGTTTGACAATTTTTGAATTTTCCTCCTGTGCAGGGACAGGCCCGACTTAAGGCTAAGGGAGCCCCCCCCGCAAGAAAGGCGAGGGGTCCTCGGATCCATGGTGGCGTGGCTGGTCCTCCCTCCCTCCCTCCCTCCTCCTCGTCGTCGTCTCCGCCGCCGCCGTCGTCGTCGTCGTCGTCGTCGTCGTCGTCGTCGTCGTCGTCGTCGTCGTCCTCTTCGTCGTTGTCGTCGTCGTCGTCGTCGCCGTCGTCGTCAATGTCGTCAATGTCGTTGATTTCGTCAATGGCGTCAATGTCATCAACGTCGTCAATGTCGTCGTCGTCGTCGTCGTCGTCGTCGTCGTCGTCGTAGTCGTCATTGTCGTCGTCCGTCCACGTCATCGTCGTTCGTCGTCGTCGTCCGTCCATGTCATCGTCGTTCATCGTCGTTGTCGTCGTGTTCGTCATCGCCGTCTTCGTCGTCGTAATCGTCGTCGTCATTGCCGTCGTCAACGTCATCGTCGTTCGTCGTGGAGCTGCCGATGGGGCGTTGTTGCGCTCTTGTGGGGGCGCTTTCGTCGTGAACCTGATCTCGACCACCTCTTCCTGGTGGCGATGCGTTTCAGGCAGTGCAGATTCTCCCAGAGTGCGGTAACGCCCCGAGGGCGTGCGAGCCCGCAGGCGAGCAAGGCAGCCGAGGGCCAAATCTGCAAGCATGGGGGGCGCGCTGACCAGGGCCAACCAAGGCCACGCCGCGAACCCCTGCGGGCCACGGAGCAGCTTCCCGAGGCGGGTCAACGGAGCGATGCGAGGGGGGGACAAGATCGGTCTGCATCGCATCGGGAAACGGGATCGGATCGGAGCGCGCGTCGGAGCGGGCTGCGTCGGCACGGAGTTGGAACCGAATCGGATCGGCCGCGCCAGGATGCACAACCATGCCATGCAAACATCGGGCCGCGTCGGATCGGGAGCGGCCAAGAGGGGGGTGTGGGGGGGCCAGAAGCGCAATGAAATAAGAAGAGGCGCCATGAAATCTGGGGAAATATCATGGCCCACGCCATGATTATCCACCCCCCCCTAGTCTTCACCCTCCTCTTTGCCGCCCCCGATCGGATAGGCGGGACACCGAAGCCGCATCCGATGGAGCCGGGCGAGCTCGGCACGGGACTGGGACGAGCTCCGCGAGGCTCGCAGGCCCCGCGTGCCGCCCCGCTCGGCGGACGCCCGTCGGCGGCGGACCTCGACGTGGGAGCGGATCCATCGGATCGGAATCGTAGGGGGCCACATGCGAACCCTACCCCTACCCACCACGATTTCTGAGGGGGAGGGTGGGGTTCACTTCGTTCGGGAGTGAACCCCACCCTCCCCCTCAGAAATCGTGGGGGGTAGGGGTAGGGTTCGCATGTGGCCCCCTGAATTGGCCCCCGGGGGGGTCGGGCTTCGTGTGCCTCCCCGAACCAGGTCGGCCAGCGGGGCCGGACCAACGCCCGTCAGGGGCCGAGGCAGCGCCCCGAGACAGACTCTCCGGGCTGGCTCCGGGCCTCTCCGCGAGCTGCTGATGGCCTCGGGGATCGGGCGGCGGTTGAACTCTGTGCCGGCGAGAGAGGTCAGTTCGGGGCCCAGAGAGGAGAGTACATGTTTCACAGGGCCAAAGGTAAAGGGCTATCGATGTTAGGATGTCTGAATCGGTTTTCAAAATGGGCGTTTCCCGTGAGACGTCCTCCAGCAGTGAAAACAAGGATTTCTCATGGTGCTATGGATGAAATGAAGATCATAGCTACGATGCGAACTTTGGGGGTAATAATAAAGTTCGCCCCCTGCCTGTCGTGGCAATTTGAACCATATGGAGCCCAGGGATAATCAGACACAAGGGGTTCAAGGGTGGACTCTTTTTCATCGTCGGCAAGCGGTTAATGGGGAGGTGACCTAAATGGGGGTCTGGAGAAAGGGGCTCTGCAGGGGCCATTTCGGGCCCCATACGGAGCCTTAAAGGGCCCCTTTCCTGCACCCCTCACGTCAGCCCCTCCCCCCGTGCCGGCCGCCTGAAACTCTCTCTCTTACGGCCCCTCCCGCCTCTCCCAGCGGCCCTCCAGGGGACCTCCACGGGCCGTCCTGGCCTGGGCCGCCTCCGCTGCGCTCCTGTGGCGCCTCTGGGCCCCTCTGGAGCACTCTCGGCGCGGCTTGGCCCCTTCCGGGGCCTTCCCGGGGGGCTTCCGTTCCCTCGCCGAGGGGTTCAACCTCCAACCGAATGCCTCAATACCTGGCCGAGGCCAGGAACGGAACGCTTCAGAACTGTTGTGATGGCAGTGGTCTTTCGAGGGAATGCTGCATCCTGGTCGGCATCTACAGTCCCCGCTTTACGGAAGCGCAAGAAAGATGACAGATTTCTGGCAGTGGGTCGAAGCTCATACTGCCTGGGCAGCTTGTGCCCCTGAGTGGACAGCAAACAAGTGTGACGACACCGCGGTGTAACGGGAGCACCCCGTTGCGCGCGTCGCCGCCACGCCAAAACTGCCACTGGCATGCTCGAAAGAAAGCCTCTTGGGGGCTTCCTGTCAAGCGCACGAATGGCATTAAAGACTAAACAGACATAATAACGCGACCCCGGCATTGGAAAACGCGCTAGGTTCCTATGGTAACCAAATTCGGCTTGACGGCCAGCGCATGTCGAGGCATAGCCGGATGGAGGCAGTCAGAAGAACGTATAACCACTCGACGGACAAGACTACTGTGGCAACAATCGTGGACAAGCCGCCACGGATGACGCAACTGGAAAAAGTGCCTGCTACTGTCGATAATCTATCTCTGGATCGCAGCGGGGGGAGGGGAGATTGCGGTTCGGCATTAAAACATGCCCGGGTGTAGCTGGGTGACAGCACTGCGTATTCAACGAATCCAGCTGATATGAACGATTGCGTATCTTGGCAAGGTTGAAGGAATGGCGAAAGGACAGCGGGTGCGAAGTGGCACACGTGCAGAGGGGAGGCATCGGAAATCAAGGGTCCTCCAGGAGGCCCCAGAGGTTCCCCAGATGCCCAGGGACATCTCCATGATACCCCAAGAAGCCTCGAAGCGGCCTCAAGACATCGAGCAAGGCTCCAGGATGCGTCGCCTCCCAGGGGCCCCAATATGCCTCGACGAGGCCTCTCAATGGCCTCCAATCCGCCACTTTATGGCAGTTGAGGCGGTGCAGAATGCCAGCTGCTGTCTTGTAGGGTTTCTGTAACTCTTCTCACGCCCTGCTCCCCTCCCGCCACGCTCAGCAGTCCCCTCCCTCCTGAAGGTTTCTGGGTGTTTCGACGCCTCCCTGGAGCCCTCCAATGCTCTCCACATGCTTCCACGACAGCCTTGGCAGGTCACCAAGGCCGCCAAGAGGGCCCAACACTGCCACAAAGGAGGCACCCGACAGCCCACACGGAACACTCAAGCGGCGCCAAAGGGCCCCGACAGACTTCGAAGGCACTGAAGAAAATGTCATGGGTCATTGCAGGAGGGCCCAAGTAGTTCGAATTCAAAATGTGCTTGCTTTTGCGTGTTGTTGGCATTGTTGTTTCCCTGGGCATTTTGGCCCAAGAAGATTCCACAAGGACTGCGGATAAGCTAAGGAGAACCCATGAGCCTTTCGCGACCCCAACCTCGGGAAGGGCAAATCCTCCTGTTGCATGGGCGCGTTGTTTGGCATCGCTCGGCGATGCGTTGCCTTGCTTGGCGTTGCTCCACCACCTCCTCTTCCTCCTCCCTCTCCTCGATGCTCTCTCGTCCCTCCCCCAACGTCCCCTCGATCAGATGACGTCCCATTCAGATAACGGCGGCCCTCCAGCCTGGCCGAACTCCGCTCAACCTCGGCCCCTCGGACCCCGAGAATAATACCGATTTCAACCACTTCGGACCGTTCACAAACCACTTGGGACCGATTGCAACCACTGGTAACATATAGATCGCAACCTACAAGATGTCCATACGCATCTTCGAAGGGAGCACTGGAGTACAACCGCGAAGGGACCTTCCGAAGAGCTTCTGAAAAGCTATTCCAAGGCTTCACTCCTGAGGACCCCTGAGGACTCCTGAGAACTCGTGAGGACTCCTGAAAAATCCGCCGACCCCTTGGGGTCACGGCGTGTGAGATGTTTCCCCCTCCCAAAACCCCTCCTCCGGGGGCCTGGTCCAGCCGGTTTGGAAGGGGTGGGGGGGGGAAATCCGTCATCCGCACACTTGGAGCCGCAGAATGCCCCAAAACGGGCCGAAAGGTTCCAAAGGTTCCCGGAACGGTCCAAGAGAGCTACCAATCGACGAAAGATCGCCCCAAAACGCCGAAGATTGCCTCCACACGGCTCCATAAGTCCCCAAGATGTTTGAAACAATGCTACGAGGCGCCCCAAAGAGGCCCTCCAGAAGGAAAAATCGCCCCATGCCCTAGGGAAAACTTGCATGTTCAGCATCTTCGCCCATTCGGCTTCCACGCGGCGCAAAGCGGCCCAAGAAGCCTCCAAGATCGACCCTCGCCAACCCAAGAGGCCCCCCAAAAGGCTCCAAGACGGCGTCCGGGCGATCCACGAAGGCCCCAGAAACCATAGCAACTGCCCAGGAAAGCCGCAAGACGGTCGCAAGAGGGCTCCAAAACGGGCCAAGAGGGCTCCCAAAGACTGTCCAGACGGCCCACGCGGGGGACGATTCGGTCCAAACCGCCCAAGATTGCCTCCAGACAGCCCCATTGCGTCCAAGACGTTTGCATACGCGACCACGAGGCGCTCCAAGCAGGCCTCTAGAAACAAAAACCGTCCCATTCCCTAGGTACAACGTACATTTTCAGCATATTCGCTTCTTGGGCTTCCACGAGGCCCACAACGGCCCAGTAAACCTCCAAGATCGACCTCTGACACCCCAAAAGACTCTCCAAAAGGCTCCACGACGGCCTCCAGGCGCCCCACGAAAGCCCCAGAAACCATAGCAACGGCCCGGGGGAACGGCAGGACGGTCCCGAGAGGGCTCCGAAACGTGTCCAGAGGGGCCTCACAGCCTGTCTGGACAGGCCACGCGGGGGACGATAGCTGCCGCCCCAAGGGGTCGGCGGTGTGGCGTAAGCCAACGAATCCAGAGAAAACCTCCCGACTGAAGGATTCTGAAAGATTCTGAAGGACTCTGAAGTACGTATCCTTGAATATTCGAAAAGGATTCTGAAATATCTGAAAAAGATTTAAGTCATGATCGACCCTCAACTTACCATGCCAAACTACAGACGATGCTCATTGTATTTTGCCAGGGCCACATACTTGTGACCACTTCAGAAGCTCTGAATCGGGGGCGCAAGCGAGCAGGCGGCACGAGACGGGCAGCGACGGTGCCTCCAGAAAAGCTGAAGCCCTCTAAGGGTAAAAAAGAACGGAGGAGAAAGGGGTAGGACGGTGGGGCCGCTAAACAACGTGAGCACACATGCAGCGGATGTGACATCGTTGTCAGCATTCCTCGTACCGCTGGTCGTTCAAGAGCGGCTAGAACCCCCCGAGACAGCTCACAAGGACACCAAAACGGTCCAAAAGCAACCCAAAACGGTCCAGAAAGGGCCTCTAATAAAACCCGGAAGCGCCCAACAACAGGGACTCACCTCCGACTCCGTTCGTGCGTGCTTCCCCGTTCTGTGCTCACGACTACTCCAGAAGCTGGGGCCCCAAGAGGTCGACGGATTCGGACTTTAGTTGGATCCCCACACATGTGACAGGTTCAATTCTTCACATGGGCTTGTGTCTAAAATTCCTATCACACGGATGGCGTTGCATCCGAGTCATGCACAAACTCATGTACGCATGATGTTCGACTTGGTTCTCGCACAAGTGGTCGAAGAAGCGCAAGAGAGCCCCAAGACAACGCAAACCGCCCTCAAGACGGCCCAAACAAACCCAAGTCGGCCCAACAGGTCCCCAAGACGTCTCAAGAGGCCTACGGCCCAAGAAGCCCCCGAAATCGCCCCAAAACGGTCCCAGAGAGGGCTCCGAGGCCCCCAAAGGCTCCCAAGAGGGAGACCCACGAGGGCCATGGGAGGTCCCAGGGAAGGCCCAAGATCACCCCCAGAAGGCCAGTCAATGGCCAAATTCCCAAAAAAGCCCGAGCACGACCCAAGAGGGACCCAGGACTGCCCAAACGGGTTTTTGAAGGCCTGGAAATGGGCACCAACACCAACACAGGGGGTTGCCTCCACAGGGGGAAGATGATCTTAAATTCCGGTGTTGGTGATAATACTTCGGCCACCTAGGAAGCCCAAAGATTACCACCATCGCCGAGATCGGGATCATCTTCCCTCGGTGGAGGCACACCAACGAAATTGGTGTTGGTGTCAACCTCTAGGCCTGCGAGGTTTCGAAAAAAGGGCCTCCAGGACGGCCCGCAGAGGCGCCCAGGAGGCCCCCAGAGGTCCCCAAAAACCCTCGAGAGCCGTTCGCGCGGCCCGCACGCGGTCCTCCAACGGGATGCCTCCGACCAAAAAAACGCGCCCGCCCATGCCGGATCGTGGGCGCTCGCGAGCCCAACGCCATACAGCTTACACCGGCCTTCCCTCCCCGCGTAGCTTCCACAACGCTGTTCCCAACATATCGTTCGTGCCACCTGCCCTGCACCATATAGCTCACATCATGTAGACACCCCTACAGCACCCGCAGCATATAATTCATACAACATAGCTACCAGCACATAGCTAACACCGAAGAGCTTTCACCGCATAGCTCACACCACACGGCTGCCACAAACTCACTCGTATCACATAGTTTAAGCCGCAGAATTGTCACCGTCGGAGTTCAACACCTCACTCTTCGGGGCTTACTACCATGGCTCATATGTTGTTGGTTCTATATATAGATATGCCGTTGGGAACCGCTGGAAGCCGCCAGGCTTCATGGAGTTTACAATCTTCGGAGGTGTGAATTCGACGTCGGCCTCCCAGCCGTTGCAACCTGGAGGGCCTGAAAAAAAATTGGCCTGGCGAAAGACCCAACCATCGGAGGTGAGGGGATCGAAGTGGAACGGAGAGCCCCCCTACCGGGTAATCGGTTTCGGTTTCGTGTTCGTGCGTGCCGTGCGTGCGGGCAAGGCGAAACTGCGTTGGCGGGCGGGAAAAAAATCTCCTCCGGCTGAGGCGCGGCCGGACCAAATGATTCCTTTCCGGGGGCCGGTGGCCCGCGGTGTCCCGCCTGTGTCCCGCCTCCGGCTGAGGCGCGGCCGGACCAAATGATTCCTTTCCGAGGGCCGGTGGCCCGCAGTGTCCCGCCGGTGTCCCGCCGGTGTCCCGTCGGTGTCCCGATCATGGTGATGATGATGATGATGATGATGATGATGATGATGATGATGATGTCGATGATGATGATGATGATGATGATGATGATGATGATGATGATGATGATGGTGATGGTGGTGATGATGATGGTGTCACGTTGATGATGATGTTGACGATGTTGATGATGATGATGGTGATGGTGGTGATGATAATGGTGTCCCGATGATCATGATGTTGATGAAAGTGATGTTGCTGATGATGATGGTGTCCGATGATGGTGGTGTTGATGATCCTAATGATGTTGGTAATGCTGGTGATGATGAGATGATGATGATGATAATGATGATGATGATGATGGTGGTGTCCCGATGATGATGGTGAAGCTGATGGTGATGATGATAATGATGATGATGGTGATGATGATGATGATGGTGTCCCGATGATGTTGCTGATGATGTTGATGATGATGATGACGATGATGGTGTCCCGATGGTGGTGATAATTATGATGCTGATGATGTTTGTGATGCGGATGGTGATGCGATGATGGTGATGATTTTGATGATGGTGGCCCGATAATGATGATGCTGGTGTTGCTGATAATAATGGTGTCCTGATGATGATGATGGTGATGATGATGGTGACGATGATGATGGTGTCCCGATGATGATGATGTTGATGATGATGGTGTTGCTGATGATGATGATGGTGTCCCGGTGATGGTGATGATGATGATGCTGCTGTTGTTCATGATGATGATAAAATGACGATGATGATGCTGGTGGTGTTCAGATGATGATGAGGATCGTGTCCTGATGATGATGGTGCTGTTGATGATGATGACGATGATGGTGTCCCGATGATGATGATGGTGGTGATGATGATGATGTTGATGATGACGGTGATGAATTGATGTTGATGGTGATAATGGTGGCCCGATGATGATGATGATGATGATGATGATGATGATGATGATGATGATGATGATGATGATGTTGATGACGTTCATGGCGATGATGTTGATGATGATGACGTTGATTGTGAGATCGATTGTGGTATCGATAGTGAGATCGGTAGTGATACCGAATGTGAGATCGATTGTGCGATCGATAGTGAAATCGATACTGAGATCGATTGTGAAATCGATAGTCATATCGGGATCGATCGAATGACATAGATCGAGTGGGGTCGATGGTGAGATCGATCGAGTGAAATCGATCGAGCGAAGCGGATAGTGAGACGAATAATGAGATCGATAGTGGGACCGGTCGAGTGACACGTTGGTTCCTCCCCCCTTCCCGAACCTCCTTATCACCCGAAGGGTGGTCGTATAGGTATGCAGTTGTGACTACCGCAATTGTGAATCGTTTCTTCGGTGGCGCTCCCTATGGGGCCACGAAACGCTGTACTGGGTGGGTGAAGCGCAGGGAGCAAGGGCTGTACTGGGTGGTGTCGGACGCATGCGGGCGGTGCCACTGGGACCTTCCGTGGAATTCCCCCATATGTGGCATCGAAGCGCCGTACTTGGTGGGTGGAACGCAGGGAGCAAGGGCCGTGTTGGGTAGTGGCGGACGCATGCGGGCGGTGCCAGTGGGACCTTCGGTGGCGCTCCCTATGGGGCCACGAAGCACTGTACTGGGCGGGTGAAAACGCAGGGGGCAAGGGCCGTGTTGGGTGGTGGCGGGCGCATGCGGTAGGTGACACTGGGACCTTTCGGTGGGGCTCCCTATGGGGCCACGAAGCGCTGTACTGGATGGGTGAAACGCAGGGAGCACGGGCTGTGCTGGGTGGTGGCGGACGCATGCGGGCGGTGCCAGTGAGACCTTCGGTGTGGTGGCGGACGCATGCGGGCGGTGCCACTGGGACCTTCGGTGGCGCCCCCTATGGGGCCACGAAACGCTGTACTGGGTGGGTGAAACGCAGGGAGCAAGGGCTGTGCTGGGTGGTGGCGGACGCATGCGGGCGGTGCCACTCGGACCTTCGGTGGAGTTCCCTATGGGGCCACGGAACCTTGTACTGGGCGGGTTAAACGCAGGGAGCAAAGGCCGTGCTGGGTGGTGGCGGACGCATGCGGGCGGTGCCACTGGGACCTTCGGTGGCGCCCCCTATGGGGCCACGAAGCGCTGTACTGGGTGGGTGAAACGCAGGGAACAAAAGCCGTGCTGGGTGGTGGCGGAGGCACGCGGGCGGTGCTTGTGGGACCTTCGGTGGCGCCCCCTATGGGGCCACGAACCGCTGTACTGGGTGGGTGAAACGCAGGGAGCAAGGGCTGTGCTGGGTGGTGGCGGACGCATGCAGGCGGTGCCACTGGGACCTTCGGTGGAGCCCGCTATGGGGCCACGAAACGCTGTACTGGGTTGGTGAAGCGCAAGGAGCAAAGGCCGTGTTGGGTGGTGGCGGGCGCATGCGGGCGGTGCCACTGGGGCCTTAGGTGGAGCCCCCTTTTTATGGGGCCGCGAAGCGCTGTACTGGGTGGGCGAAGCGCAGGGAGCAAAGGCTGTGCTGGGCGGTGGCGGATTCACGCGGGCGGTGCCACTGGGACCTTCCGTGGAACTCCCTATGGGGCCACGAACCGCTGTACTGGGTGGGTGAAACGCAGGGAGCAAGGGCTGTACTGGGTGGTGGCGGGCGCATGTGGGCGGTGCCAGTGGGACCTTCGGTGGCGCTCCCTTTTATGGGGCCACGAAGCGCTGTACTGGGTGGGTGGAACGCAGGGAGCAAGGGCTGTGCTGGGTGGTGGTGGACGCATGCGGGCGGTGCCACGGGGACCTTCTGTGGAGCCCCCATAGGTGGCCTCGAAACGCTGTACTGGGTGGGTGGAATGCAGGGAGCAAGGGCCGTGTTGGGTGGTGGCGGACGCACGCGGGAGAAGGAAGAGAGGAGACGAGGAGAAGAGGAACGCGGGGACCGTCTCTTCAAAACGAGGACCCAGCATCACAAGATGGTTGGGAAATATCTCGGAGTGGAGAAAACAACCCCCAAGAAACAACGGTTCCTCCAGATCGGTAAGTTCACGTGGTGTCGACGCGGCGGCGACACCAGCGCGGGCGCTCGGAATGAACGCGGCCAGTGGTCAGAAATCGGCGGGTATTGAACGGGAGTGCGCAATCCTGCGCCTCGAATCTCTAATCATAACGCACTCCAAGAAAAATCGGGAAGCGCCCGGACGTGCAGACCGAGGGCGAAAGCAAATAAGGAACGGGTAAAAGGGACTTGGAAGGAAACGGCTACCTTTTAAAGGCCCAGGAGGACGACGCCAAGTGCCAACCTATCCGAAACTTGAAGGACCAAGGTGCGTGGCGCGAAGCGCCAACGCAGTTTTGTGTGTATATAAGTGTACATATACGCATACATATATTTACACGTATGTGTATCGCAGGGATGAACAGCATGGGTTGGAAAAAAAACATACATACACCGCATAGGTTGCATCACGTATATCGAACAGCATAAATCGCACAACATTGACTGCACAACATACAACGCACCACGCATATCATATTGCACCACATAGATTGCCCACCATAGCTTGCACAACCTATCTTAAACGACATCGATTGCACCACGTATGTTGCACTGGATATACTGCACAACGTGGCTTGCACAAATCTTAGGTTCCACCGCATAGGTTGACGGCACCACGTACATTGCCCCATATATGTTGCACCATCTATACGTGCAACATATACTTCACAGTACACATTGCACGACATACATCGCAACACACCTCTTGCACCGCGTATAATGCACAACACATATGGCAGCACGTGTATATATATATGTGTGATCATAGGTAGCTCACCATACATTGTACTACGTACACTGCACCTTATAGATCCCGCAACATGTCTTGCAAGTCATGGGTTGCACACCGCTAGTATTTATATATCATTACGTAGCATTCAACACTTATAGTGCACCCCATGTATTGTAAAGCGCGTGTTGCACCACATATACTGCTCCACCAACTATTGCACCACATAAACTGCGCAACACACATATATATATAATGCACAACAAATGCTGCACAGCGTGGATTGCACCACAAAGATTGCTCCACCTAGGTCGCAGAACATTTACTGCTAGAAACACACTGTTCGAGGTCCTCGCTGGCTAACATCCTTTCTCACCAGTCCCTGGTGGCCTCTCGTGGCGCCTCTTGGAGCGCCACCAGGTGCTTATTCCCTTCTGCCATTGGGGGGAAATTATCCTGGCGAAGGACCCAACCATATGCAATTGTGAATACCGCAATTGTGAATATCTTCTTCGGTGGCGTTCCCTATGGGGCCACGAAGCGTGTGAGGGGTGTGCCGAAATGGGTGCGCGGGACGCGTGCGGGCACACCCACTGGGACCTTCGGTGGAGCTCCCTATGGGGCCACGAAACGTGTGAGGGGTGTGCCGAAATGGGCGTGCGGGACGCATGCGGGCACACCCACTGGGACCTTCGGTGGAGCCCCCTACGGGGCCACGAAACGTGCGAGGGGTGTGCCGAAATGGGTGTGCGGGACGCATGCGGGCACACCCACTGGGGCCTTCCGTGGAGCTCCCTATGGGAAAACGAAACGTGTGAGGGGTCACGAAACGCGTGAGGGGTGTGCCGAAATGGGTGTGCGGGACGCATGCTGGCACACCCACTGGGGCCTTCGGTGGAGCTCCCTATGGGGCCACGAAACGTGTGAAGAGCATGCCGAAATGGGTGTGCGGGACGCATGCGGGCACACCCACTGGGACCTTCGGCGGAGCTCCCTATGGGGCCACGAAACGCGTGAGGGGTGTGCCGAAATGGGTGTGCGGGACGCATGCGGGCGGCAGCACTGGGGCCTTCTGTGGAGCTCCTTATGGGGCCCCGAAGCGTGTGAGGGGTGTGCTGCAATGAATGTGCGGGACGCATGCGGGCACACCCACCGGGACCTTCGGTGGAGCTCTCTTTGGGGCCACGAAACGTGTGAGGGGTGTGCCGAATTGGGTGTGCGTGACGCATGCGGGCGGCAGCACTGGGGCCTTCGGCGGAGCTCCCTATGGGGCCACGAAACGTGTGAGGGGTGTGCCGAATTGGGTGTGCGTGACGCATGCGGGCGGCAGCACTGGGGCCTTCGGCGGAGCTCCCTATGGGGCCACGAAACGTGTTAGGGGTGTGCCGAATTGGGTGTGCGTAACGCATGCGGGCGGCAGCACTGGGACCTTCGGCGGAGCTCCCTATGGGGCCACGAAATGTGTCAGGGGTGTGCCGAATTGGGCGTGGGTGACGCATGCGGGCGGCAGCACTGGGGCCTTCGGCGGAGCTCCTTGTAGGGCCACGAAACGTGTGAGGGATGTGCCGAATTGGGCGTGCGTGACGCATGCGGGCGGCAGCACTGGGGCCTTCGGCGGAGCTATGGGGCCACGAAACTATGAAGGGGTGTGCCGAATTGGGTGTGGGTGACGCATGCGGGCGGCAGTACTGGGGCCTTCGGCGGAGCTCCTTATGGGACCACGAAACGTGTGAGGGGTGTGCCGAATTGGGTGTGGGTGACGCATGCGGGCGGCAGCACTGGGGCCTTCGGCGGAGCTCCTTATGGGGCCACGAAACGTGTGAGGGGTGTGCCGAATTGGGTGTGCGCATGCGGGCGGCAGCACTGGGGCCTTCGGCGGACGGGGCCACGCAATTGGGTGTGCGTGGCATGCGGGCGGCAGCACTGGGGCCTTCGGCGGAGCTCCCTATGGGGCCACGAAGCGTGTGAGGGGTGTGCCGAATTGGGTGTGCGTGACGCATGCGGGCGGCAGCACTGGGGCCTTCGGCGGAGCTCCTATGGGGCCACGAAGCGTGTGAGGGGTGTGCCGAATTGGGTGTGCGTGACGCATGCGGGCGGCAGCACTGGGGCCTTCGGCGGAGATCCCTATGGGGCCACGAAACGTGTGAGGGGTGTGCCGAATTGGGTGTGGGTGACGCATGCGGGCGGCAGCACTGGGGCCTTCGGCGAAGCGCTTATGGGGCCACGAAGCGCGTGAACGGTGTGCCGAAATGGGTGTGGGTGACGCATGCGGGCGGCAGCACTGGGGCCTTCGGCGGAGCCCCTATGGGGCCACGAAACTATGAAGGGGTGTGCCGAATTGGGTGTGCGTGACGCATGCGGGCGGCAGCACTGGGGCCTTCGGCGGAACTCCCTATGAGGCCACGAAACGTGTGAGGGGTGTGCCGAAATGGGCGTGGGTGACGCATGCGGGCGGCAGCACTGGGGCCTTCGGCGGAGCAGCTATGGGGCCACGAAACGTGTAAGGGGTGTGCCGAATTGGGTGTGGGTGACGCATGCGGGCGGCAGCACTGGGGCCTTCGGCGGAGCTCCTATGGGGCCACGAACGTGTGAGGGGTGTGCCGAATTGGGTGTGGGTGACGCATGCGGGCGGCAGCACTGGGGCCTTCGGCGGAGCTCCTATGGGGCCACGAAACGTGTGAGGGGTGTGCCGAATTGGGTGTGGGTGACGCATGCGGGCGGCAGCACTGGGGCCTTCGGCGGAGCTCCTATGGGGCCACGAAACGTGTGAGGGGTGTGCCGAATTGGGTGTGGTGACGCATGCGGGCGGCAGCACTGGGGCCTTCGGCGGAGCTCCTATGGGGCCACGAAACGTGTGAGGGGTGTGCCGAATTGGGTGTGGGTGACGCATGCGGGCGGCAGCACTGGGGCCTTCGGCGGAGCTCCATGGGGCCACGAAACGTGTGAGGGGTGTGCCGAATTGGGTGTGTGGGGGTGTGCCGACGCGCATGCGGGCGGCAGCACTGGGGCCTTCGGCGGAGCTCCCTATGGGGCCACGAAACGTGTGAGGGGTGTGCCGAATTGGGTGTGGGTGACGCATGCGGGCGGCAGCACTGGGGCCTTCGGCGGAGCTCCTATGGGGCCACGAAACGTGTGAGGGGTGTGCCGAAATGGAGGAGGGAGGAGGGAGGAGGGGGAGGAGGAGAGGAGAGGAGAGGAGGAGAGGAGAGGACGCGGGGACCGTCTCTTCAAAACGAGGACCCAACACCACAGGATGGTTGGGAAAAACAACTGCGACACGCTGGGCTGAGGAAGCTGCCCTTGGTGCCCCCCCAAAGCCAACCCCGACACCCCCAACGGTGTCGACCACGCCCCCCAGGCGGTGTTGACTTGCGCACGGCACTCCAAATCGGGCGTTGGCCGGTCGCAGGTCATCACCGCTGGGGGGTATGGGTTGGCCTTGGGAGGGGCTGGGAGCGGCTCTCTCAGCCCAATACTGTTTGTGGTTGTCTCGTTTTCGCTCCTGACAGCGTGAGACGGGGACTGCTGCAAAGACACGCGGCACCCCTACGCATAAGGAGCGATTGCCTCAGGCGCCTACTACGTAGGACGAGGACGGGAAAAAGGAAGCGCCGGCACTACAGTCGCTTGGAGGCAGCAGCCCTGATGCCAATATCCTCGAGCATCGTCTGCGCGCGTGCGAGGTCCTTTGAGGTAGCGACGCGTGCGCTCATGTCTTCGAGCATCGTCTGCGCGTGTGCGAGGTCGACCGCCCTGGCAGGCTTCTTCAGCAAGGAAGCGCCCTGCACCAACTCTTCGCAGGAGAGGTGCCCATCACCATCTTTGTCCAGCATGCCAAATCCGCCGCCGTGCCGCCAGCACTGGGAGTGGAGGTCCTCGGGTTTCTTCGAGTTCTCTTCTTGGGGTCCCATGCCCGGAGTCATGGGCGCTTCCTGGGAATCGCCGCGTGGCTTTCCCAGAGGCCTCGGGAGCGTGGTTGGGAGTCCACACCTCCGAGCTGGCTTGAGACGGTCCCAGGGCCCGTCCTGGAGCCTTTTGGCAAGACTCTGTTGGGCCGTCTTAGAGGCTCGGAGGCCGCCCCACGCTGCCCAAGCCATTGAACAATCTTCTTTCTCCAGGGATTTCAGCGTCCTCGATTTTTCGGTCTGGAGAGCGCCAAAGGCGGCGCCAAGGCAGCCTCCTAGCCCCCAAGAGGTTCCCAAGAGGCCTCCAAGAGGGGGACCACGTGCTGCCGCGCCCTAGACCCCAAGATGGCTTCCGGAACCGCCAGGAGACCCCGAGAGCCCCCCAGATGCCCCAATAACCCCCCAATAAGACCCGAAGAGGCCTCCAAAAGACGGACAAAGAGGCAACATCTAAGAGGCCTCGGGTCCGCAACCCAAGCACGGTGGCGGGTGGGCCGAAAGCCACTGAATACCCGATCGATGTCGAACAGGTCCAAACCCATCGCGTTCAACCATTCTTCCGTCTGCTTATTATTCAACACCTTGATGAGCTCTTCCCGGGTCACCAGCCCACTACCGTCTCTATCTGCCTTAGAGAAGAATTCTGCCAACTTCGCGCTCTCCGCCTTCGCAGCACGCCTAACCTCGTTCATCATGACGCTATCGTCCAGAGCCGCGACTTTCATTGTTTCGTTGAGGAATACTCCCGAAATGACTTCGATCACCGCGAACCCGAATACCAACTGATGGCAGATACCGAAGAGCATCCACCACTCGCTGAAGCCTGTGAGAATTCGTGTGATACCAAACCAATTTCCCAGCAGCATCTCAATCATTGTCAACATCGACCTGGAGAAGGTGCCGAAATACTCGAAGAGCACCTCCCTCTCTTGGAGATCAAAAGCCTCGTCCTCCCAATTATCCCTCACGAGCAAATTAACCGCCAATGATAGCATCATCTCGCCCAGTAGCACTACAGCGCAAGACCATCCTAGAGCTGACACGCTGCCCTTAATCGACTGCAGCATGAGGTAGAGCGAGGCGAACCCTCGGATCGTCTTCACCACCCGAAGGAACCGCAATAGCCGAGCCATCCGTGCCAAGCGGATCATGGTCGGTGGGAAAGGGAGGTCGCTCGAGAGCGCCTCCACCCAAAAGAAGGCAACAACGAGGACGTCGATAACGCTCCATGGGTCCGTCATGGCTACCTTCGGTATGGCCACCAATTTGAGCAGGAGCTCGACTGTAAACAATATTCCGTAAAACCACTCGAGCCCCCAAAAAATGCGGTCGGCCCCTGGCCAGGCCTTGTCGGCTGGCTCCGTCATGCGCGGAGCCACCCCGGAGTCGTAGCCCGACTCCATTCCCTGGTACTGAGCTTCCGCCGCGATGCAGAGCGTGTTGAGCAGGATCACGGCGGCCATGGCCAGCTCGAACGCGGGGCTGGTCACCACCTTCGCAAGGCCGCGCCTCTGCTCCGCGTTCGCGCTCCTGACGTGGAACGACGGGGGGGGATGTGGGCACGTGGGCGAACGAGCTGGTGGACGGTGGGTGGGTGGGTGGGCGACACCATCCGGGGTGGTGGAGAGGGGGGGGGGGGGGCCACGCACCGCTCGCTTGGTGGAACGATAGGGGGGGGAACATCGAGCCTGAATCGGCGACACGTCGCCGATAGATCGGCGACATGCCCTCGATAGGGAGGCCTCAAGTTCTCTCGGGCGGGGTAGCTAGCGGGCCCTTGCTGGCGATGAATGGGCGATTGGGGGTCGATGCGTCCCCCCGAGCCTATCCCGTTTGCTGCTCTCGTGGCATTAAATCGGGCCTCCGGCGACCGTTCGGGAGGATCCGGGCACCCCTGGAACACCCTCGGCGGGGCGCAGCTGCTGGAAGGCACCCCGAGGCTTGCAAACCGCCGATGACCGACGAACATGCTCGAGGACCTCGAACCTCCAGGCGATCGTCCCAGAACGTTGCCCCTGACCCCAGGGCTTCGACGCATTCCCTCCCTGAGCCTGCACGGTTTCCCCCCGGGCCGTAGGCGACCCGAGGAGGAAGAGGAGGAGGAGGGAGGAGGAGGAGGAGGAGGAGGAGGAGGAGGAGGAGGAGGAGGAGGAGGAGGAGGAGGAGGGAGGAGGGAGGAGGGAGGAGGGAGGAGGGAGGAGGAGAGGAGGAGGATGAGGATGAGGCGGAGGATGAGAGGAGGAAGGAGGAGGAGGAGGAGGAGGAGAGGAGGAGGAGGAGGAGGAGGAGGAGCAGGAGGACAGGTCGCCTAAGCCCTTCGGAGAAGCCCTCCACCTGAGCCCGTTCCCCCCGGAGCGCTGCCCCTGAGCTCCAGAGAGACCGGCGGGGCGCGGCGGACCGGCGGCCGCCGACCTGCCGGAGGGGAGGGGCGAACGGGCCGGCTGGTGCGGGGCCACGCGCCCCGACCTGCGGCCGACAAGATTGGGCAGGGACTGACCGTCCTGGCATTTCTATAAGCCTACCACGATATGTTCTTAGAACCCAAAAACGTTCTAAGAACAAGAACAATGTTCGTAGAACAAGAACCAGATGTGTTAAAACAAAACAGTCCCGGCCAGAAATGGTCCAAGAACATTGCATGGAAACCACAAGAGGTTCGTAGAACATCGTTTGGTAGGAGCATAGGCCCTGTAGGCGAGCTGGGACGCTTCGCTACTGCTTGACAAGAGAAGCAGAGGCAGCCCTGTCGTCGGTTCCGCCGTCCTGAGGCCGATTTCCCGATCCAACGCGGTGTCGAGAATGCACCCCGACCGATGCGAGAAAAGAGGGGGCGGACATTTCTCCATTGGTACGGCGGCTACAGCGACGGCAAAGTAAGGTTAAGTCGGGCTTGTCCTCCTACCTGGGGATTGTGGATTTTTTATGTAACAACCCTTTCAAATGGCCAAAAAGCATTAGAATCGTCCATGGACTATTTTTTTTTGACTGATTTTAAATTTTCCTCCAGTAGAGGAACAGGCTCCACTCAGAAGTAGGGCGGAAATCGACATCAAAGAAGCTTGAACAGTAGTTAGGGCGGACACTTCCGCCGAATTTTCGAAACCGCACCAAAACAGGGAACCCGAAGTCAGGTAATGCGAGAGGCCGTCTCGGCTTCTGTGGGCTTCTGGCCCTGCGTCGGGCCCTGAAAGAGCACCCGTTCCGAAGACCCTGCGTGCCAAATGACTACCTCTGGCCTGGATCTCCAGAGCCCCAGAGGCGTGATCTTTTCCGTATGGTGGGCACTGAGATTTGACGTCGCAACAAAAATTGCGCCATCGTAGAAAATCACGCCTGGAGCCCTAGAGCCTATCTTTCCGCGGCATTTTTCGAGCCCGATTGATCTGTGAGGGTCCTGGGGACCAGGAAAAGGCGAAACGCCCGGCCCGACAGAAATGATACGACAGGATCTCAGGGGGGGGGGGGCTCCAGACTCCCTGGCCGTCGTGCCTAGAAAATGGGCCCCCGGTTGCGAGGCCTGGGGCATCGAAGAACACGAGTCCTGCCCGCAGGGGGGCGGTGGCAGTTGGAGCACGGCGCGCTGCGTTCGCCGAGTGGGTAAATCGAATGGCTTCGGCCCATGGCCTGGCGGGCGGGGGAAATAGTCATAGCCGCCATAAGGGGCAGCAAATAGCAACAGCGGTACCAGCAGAGCGGCAGGTGGTAGTAGTGGCTGGACTACTCAGACTACTCACAATAAGAGCAGGTGGTGGCAGTACGGAAATTGGCTGTTAGGCCTAGCTGCGACCGCCGACCCCCGCTTGCCAGCGACTCCGAGATGATTGGCTGCCCGCCTCCCCGCTCCACTCCCATGGGCCCCAAACCCTTACTAGAGGGGAGGGGCCCTGGGGGGGGGGGAGGGGCGGCGAGCTGCTCAACTCGACCCCTGGGGCCTGTGGAGCTTCCAGGTCCAGCCTCCGTCGCCTCGAAGATGCCCCAAGTGCCGACTGATACAGCTTCCGAGCATGCCAGAAAACGAACACCCAAGATGGCCTGAAGGCGCCCCAAGACGCCCCAAAAGGGCTCCACACTCTCGCCTGTCGGGCTTCAGAGAGTCCAACATGGCCCTGGAGGGCCTAGAGACGGTCCCAGAGGGCCTTGAGACTGCTCAAGGGTCCTACATGCCGACCAAAGAGGGCTTCACGAGGGCCCCAAGAGGGTGAACTCGCAGGGGCCCTTCGAGCCCCCCCGCCACAACATAGCCTCCAAGACTCCCACCGTGCGCCCAAGAGGACCCCAAGAAGCCGCCAGAGGGCCCCAAAAACTTTCTTGAGCTCTGCAAAGGCTCCAAGAGGCTGCCCCCATAGGCCCCGAAGAGGCTTCCAACAACAGACGCGGAGGTAGAGGAGGCCGAACCAGTAGCAACTACACGCAGGGAGGACGACGGGAAGACATCGGAAACCGCATATATCTTCTGGAGGTCGGCGGAATAGTGCATGCCTCTGGAACACGGAAAGTTGCTGTTACGTTTAGCTGGTATTGCGGTCGTGCTGTAAGCGATGACCGTGGAGAGGGCCACCAAACTAGGTTCTAACCTGTAGGTGGTCATGCTGAAGAGTGAGGTGGGGTACATTACCCTCCGCTGTGCTCACGCTTCGTGGTCACGATCATCCCCCCATTCTTCCGCCGAAGGTCAATTCACACATTGCATATTTGGGTCTCCCCGTAGGGCGTAGCTTCGACTCGACCAACGAATCGTAAAACGAAGAGGCCTGGGCCAACCATGCAACCGCTCTTGTCAAAACGCTGAACCAATCATAGAAACATGTTCGACGAGCAAGCACGTCGGAACAATACCTGAACCCTACATTCGCAAACCGATCTTGAAACTTCTCACAGACAGCTGGATGAACGCTAGACTACAGGACAAGCGGGAAGAACTTACTCATTCACCTGGTCAGATATCCCCATTTGTGGAACTCCAGAAGCCCAGGATCCAATACTGTGGGGACGTTCATCACGGAATGTGCCCAGAGGACTTCAGACCCTGGAGGATTCCTGATCTGATGAGGGTGGCGGTGATATCCATGGCCAATCAACGATTCGAGCTGCAACGACTCCCAGACCCTGGATTCCTTATCCATTGGTTCCTTATCCAATGCCCTCACCGTAACGTTGCGAGGCGGGGGTTTGTCCATGCCCACCGCCTGGGAACCGACGCCCTGGGGACCCAGCGGGCGGTGGATATGGATGTACTCGGGCCCCTTGGGGGCCAACACATCTCCACATCCACCGCCCGACGAGGTCTCCGACCATCGGTCCTCCAGGCGGTGGTGATGCATATAACCCCCGCCTCGGAAGCGTGGTCGTCCCGCCACCGCATGCTCGCCGTCCTCCGCCGAACTTCCGCCGAGCCTACGTCGGCGGAACCGCCGCCGCTGCCACTTCCGCCAGCATTTCGCTGGTTTCCCGCGGGGGCGAGGCCTGACCAGTACAGCCGTACTTTGGCACCGCTTGGTATCTCTTGGAAGCGAGGGTGGTCAAAAGCGAGGTACGGTTTGTTTGTCCCCTAAGAACTATGGGACACACAGAGTCATACCGATACCATGTGTCCTCCTTGGAGGCGCGCGTCCGACCCGAACATAAAGTATACCCATCTTGCAGTAGATCGTTTCCCGAGCGGTGTGGTCAGAAAGCGCCCGCCACGACGCATGTACTATAAGATTTCTCGGTGCGCGCGTCGCCCCTGGGGGGGGCGACGCACATACGGTATAAGCATGTTAGGGTGACGCCGAAACTATGCACATGCACCGATCCTGGCGAGGCCCATCCTTGACCCAGGATCAATGCATATGCTTTCCTCGCCACGGTAGAAGGGCGTATGCACAGATCCTGGGCTCAGGATGGGCCCCGCCAAAACCGGTGTATGTGCATAGTTCTCCACCCTCGAAAAGCATCCCGAAGCAAGAACCCCCCCAAGAACAGACGAACCCGTCGGAAAACCACCGTGAACATCCTCGGATAGCTGGGCTTCGAGAACCCCGATGCCGTGCTTATTTCGAAGTGTGGGCGCCCAATGGTCTGGACCCACCCCTCCCCGGGACGGACTGGTTTTGCTATCCTGTGTCGTTTTGTGAATGTCCCAAGGCCCAGTGACGGCTCCTGGAAGCCGAAAACGGCCAAACCTTTCCGTCGTGATTATTACCCCAGCAAAGCACCCTGATAGCAGCAAACATGAACAAGCGAGTCGAGGAGTAGGATGCCGGTTATACAGGGGACAAGGGTGGAAACACGGCCACATGCACCGCAAGCGGCGCTTTGCAAGCCAGCAGTGGGGCGAGAGCACGTTTCCTGAATGTATGGTGGGGAACTTTTGTTGCCCGGCCACGGCGGTCTTGGGCTCCCCGTCCTCCCTCTGGGATGGGACTCTTCTGTGGCCATCTCCCACCACTGTTAGCACCTGCCAGCGCAGCGCCAGTAGAGAAAACCCTCCGGCCGTGATTTCCCTTCGCGACGAGGGGAAGTTCTTGGGCAATAGTTCCACCACCACTAAACTACCATATGTAGGACGAGGGAGAAGGGAGGATGGGGAGGTCCTCCTCTCTCTCTCTCTCTCCATTCGTTCTCCTTCAAGATAACTCCGCCCTGCCGCACCCCGAGGCCAGTTTTTACGGCGGGCCGGGCGTTTCGCTTGAGACTTCCTCACAATTGATGACTCTGATGCTTAAAAAATGACAGCAGTTTCACAAATGGAGGGCGGGTCGCTTTCAAAATGTGGCGCTTTCAAAATGTGGCTCTCGCCTTAGCGCCGCAAGAGTTTCGCGGATTGAGGGCGGGTCGTTTCCAAAATGTGGCTCTCGCCTGAGCGCCGCGCACATTCGTTTTTCAAATTTGCCAGAATTTCACGGATTCCCATGATCAGCGCACCAGAAATCATGTGTTTGACGGGTTCAGGGCTATGCGGGCGCAACCGTTCTGTTGATTCGCGGTGTTGAAATCTCAAAAACGGCGCTCTGGCACGATTATGGATCGTCAGACGCAGCAGTCAGGTTGATACGTGGCGTTGACATCCCGAGAACAATGTTCTGGCACGCTTCACGATCTTCAAACTGTCGTCTTCCAGTGAGCCAGTTCCCTCAATGGAAATGAACCCTTGTAGGGGCCTATGAAGAGGGAGCTTGGAGGAGGGTCAATTCCAACATCGTTGATGACTCTTGGGTTTCCACTGGTCCTCTTCCTCCTCCTCCTCCTCCTCCTCCTCCTCCTCCTCCCTATCCTACCTATGGTCGTGGTGGTGGAAAAGTGGTCCACCAGAAGTGGGGGGGGTCTGTCCCTGGCTGAACCTCCACGACGCCGAGCTGTGCCCCACCGCCGCTGGGCCGGGCCGCGCCGTCGCCGTGCGGGGCCCCGCCGCGGCCGAGGCCGCCGTCCGTGGCCGGCGCCTCGCCGCATGGCCCGCTGGGTGCCTCGTCGGAGGCCTCGCTGGGCTCCTCGCGGGGCGGGGCCGCGGTGATGATCAGAGGCGTCGCGAGCCCTCCGCCCTCCGCCCTCCGACCTCCTCCCTCCGCCCTCCTGCCTCCTCGCCCCTCACTCCCTCCCCCCTCCCCTCCTCCCTCCTCCCTCCGCCCCCCGCTCCCTCGCTCCTCCCCCCGCTCCCTCCTTCCTATCTCCGTCCTCCCTCCCTCCCGTCCCTCCCTCCCGTCCCTCGCGCGTGGTCGAGCGCGCCGCGCCCCCGTCGCCTCGCCGCGGCCGGTGCACGGCGGGCCAGCGCCGCACACGGACGCGGGCCGCGCGGGAGCGAGGGCCAGTGCTCTTCGTGCCGGGCAGTGCCCGACCTCTGGGCCCTCCGAGCGCGAGCGCGTGGCCGTTCGGAGGCCACCCCCTCCGAGCGCGAGCGCGGAGGAGGCCAGCCTCCGAGCGCGAGCGCGGCCGCACGGAGGAGGCCGCACGGAGGAGGCCACCCCCTCCGAGCGCGAGCGCGAGCGCGTGGCCGCACGGAGGAGGCCACCCCCTCCGAGCGCGAGCGCGGCCGCACGGAGAGGGCCAGAAGCGATCGGACATTCGAGCCGTGCACCGCATGGTGCTAGCAAGCCTGGTACAGCGGTTTTCTGAATTCAAGAAGCTGGTGTTTGAGCTAAAAAACTAAATGATTGAATTCAGCAACCAGCCCACGAGATCGTTTTTTGTGCGAATTCGGAAACCAGTCCGTCCCAAACCACCTCAAACTCCGCCTCCACAGCATCCTGAGCGGCCTCCCGAAAGAGGGGCAGCCGAAGTAGTGTTGGTTCGAATCTGGGCTCGCACATCCCACGCAGCAGCTGTACACGGCTCCCTGGGAGCAGTTCTGGGTGAGCCCAGGCCGTGGAAAACGTTCTGATCAGAGCAAACGCGAGAGCAGGTCAGGTCTTGGCCGTGGTTCTGCTGACCAGGGTCCAATCGATTTGCGCATTCCTGTCCCGATCTGCAGGGAACCAGTCGTGGAGCTTACGGCAGAAAAAAGAGCCTCTGAGCATCGCTCGGGGAACGGGCTTCGCTGAACGAGTTGGCCAGGCTCCTACGACTCTCGCGGTGCGGTCCTCAGTCCGTTTGGAGTCCCGAAGCGGAAGCGGTGCGGTGACAGACCGTGCGGTGACCTCGAAATCCCCAAGACCTCACCGCACGGTCCCTCAACGCACGGCTTTGGGACCTCGGATGCCCCAAACGCCCGAGACATCCTCGGAGAACGACCCGGGTCCGTGCGGTGGCCCCGAATCCCCACCGACTCACCGCACCGCGTGGTCACCACCCCCGTTGGGGGGCCCCCGAGTCTGCTGGATCTCGAAAGGGGCCCCGGAGCTCGGCGGACCCAGGGGCCATCGGGGCACCTTTACGATCTCTTGAGGGAATCCTGGGCCGGCATCTCGAAGCAGCTGGCAGGAAGCAGGGCCCTCCCAGAAGCTGGGCCACAGTCGCCCTCTGCACGCGTCTGCGATCGAGATCGAGGGGTGCGCGCGTTCGAGCAGATTGCTGTGCATCTTCGGCCAGACACCGCTGAAGGTAGAGAAGGCAGCCCTGGCACTCGCGGCGGCGTGCGATAGGACTGTGGCCGACGGGCTCTTAGGGCCACCCCAGCTCTTCATCGGCAGATTTCGCAACCCGCCCTTTTCCCAATCCAATCCTTTAAAGGACGAAGCCAGGACGAGGATAAAGTCGGGTGAGGATAAATCGAGAATCTTGGAAATCCGTCGGTTCTGCAAATTGCCTCGGGCGCCGCGGCCTCCTCAGAGCGTTCCGGCACTCTCTGAAAGCGTTCCGAAACGCTCTGGAACGGCATCACCCTCGTCCCGGCCCCGCCCGACTTCCCAGGCCCCCACGGCATGTGTTTTTCATTACGTCGCCCCCCGAGGTCTGAACCAATTCCCCGCAGGACCGGTTTTCATCCCGAACAATTTTTTGGTGGTCCCGAGGCCCTGTAAGGGCCCCCAGCGGCCGAAAATAACGAAGAACTTCCCGTCATATTTCTTCATTGCTCGAGGGAGTCTGGGTTCGTCCGACCCGATCCTCACCTCCTCCCTCGCGAAAGGACCCCCGGCCCGGCCGGCGGGTCCTCCCCCAGCTCGGCGGCGGCACGGGCGCTCTCCCGGAACCTCGTGCTCCGCTCCTGCGGCGCCGCCGCTGGCTCCTCGGGCTGGGGGGGCGGGGAGAGTGCAGTTTGACGGCGAGCCCAGGGGGGAAGGCTCAGGGTATTGCCTCCAGGATTTCCAAGGACCAGGAAGGTCGAGGAGGAGGTCGACGACGAGGACGAGGAGGAGGAGGTCGAGGAGGAGGAGGAGGAGGCCCAGGGGGGAAGGCTCAGGAAGTGCCCCTGGCCCAAGTTGCCCCCAGGATGTCCAAGGCGCCCCCCGCGGCCTCCCCAGAGCACCCCTCGCGAGGCCCAGAGGGCCCCAGAGGCTACAAAATGGAGCGAAAAGCTGGCGGCACCTTGGGCCAACGGCACTTTCAGCCACCCCCGAAAGGCACAGGGGGCGGACCTGCTCAGAAGCCCCAGAAGGCCCTCGGATTCTTCGGCGGTGGACAAACCTCCCTTTAGTGAACCTCAATTTAATGAAAACGGCCTAGGACCGAAACTGACGGACCTGGACCCGGGAAAATAACGGCCGCGACGCCCTCTCGCGAACCGAAAACGGCCAATTCACTAATCGACGTGTCAGGGTACGAGGTCTATCAACCTCCGAATTCTGCGAAACTGTCTAGCTCTTCTCCGAAGTCCCGCCGCCTGCTGAGGAGGCCTGCGTCCTCTCACGTCCCCCGTCGGCGCGCTGCCGAGCTGCAGCAGCTCGTGCCTGCTCGGAGAAACCTTCAGCACTCGTGTCTTCTCTCTGCAGGTGCCCTCGGCGGTGTCTTCTCCCTACAATTTCAAGCCTGTGCAACGAGAGCCCTTGGTGCCACCACGCTGTGCAATCCACTGAGGGGGTAAACCAAAGCGGCATACCTCAGTTCATCTGTGCCGGGAGGAATGCATGTTAATGTTACAGGTTCGTGCCGTGCCGAGTTGCGTGTTGGTTTCTGACACCGCGTGGACACCCCCACTTCGAACTATCGCGGCTCTTCGATAGAAGCCTCTGAGCAGCAATCGGCCTTCACCCTTGATTGCCTGCGCCGGGGTCGCCGCCGCATCGACGCGGCGCAGCCGCACTCCCGGACGGAGAGGTCTGGGTCCCCTGGACGCCGTGCAGAGACCACGGCGAGTGCTTCTGCCACCGCTGCGGGCCGCAGGGCCCTCCCTAGGGCGGACCCGTCCAACTCGAGATATGTGGCGCTGGAGCTCGGCGCTCGTTCCAACGGGGTGTGAGGAAGCGTGCGCGCCTTTCCAGCCCTTTTATGCGGCCCGCGGCTGCAGCTTCAGGAGCTTGTTGGGGCCCATTCAGGGCCACTTTCCTACAGTCCTCGGCCCTCCCCGTTCATCCCCCCCCCTCGCAATGGGCCTTCGAACAAGTGTGTCGAGTTGCCCACGCCCGCTACCGAGCGCCCGACGGAGGATGTGGTAGAGCGCTCTGGCCGCTTATCTGGAGGAGGGCACGGATGAAGACAGGAGGGAGCTCAGCCTGCCCCGCCTCCCCCCCGTCCCCCCCTTCAGCGCCGCGCGCCGCCTGTCCCCCCGTATGGGCGCCCTCAAAAGACGCGCGCGCCCGGCCGCATGCAACATGAGCACGGCCCCCCCATCCGCGAGGCCAACCTCGTGCTGCGAACGTTCGCGCAGCGCATGCCGCATGCTCTGGAAACCCACGGAAACTCATGCACATGGTGTGTGTTTTTCCGCTCCCGGCGCCCCCCCCCGCCGCCGCCTTGCCCGGGCCGGGCGCCCCCCTCCCTCCCCCGTGCATGGCGGCCTCATTCGCGCTTTGTGCACCCCACTCACGCTCCATCGCCAGCGCAATGACTCTGCCTAGCCGCCGACGTTAACAAAAAAGTGTGTGTCCTCCGTTCCCGATTCCCCTGGGCTCCTGCTGCGCACTCCGCCGCGGCGAGCCTGCATCGCCCGCCCCGCCCGGCGGCGTCGGAATGGCGGCGCCGCCGGTCTCGGCCAGGCGCGCCTCCAGCCGGCGCAGCTCGTCGTGCAGCTGATCGAGCCTCCTGGGAGAGGCGCTGTTTGCATGCAGATCTCCTGCTGCGATGTGATTCCCGGACAGCGTTTCGCTGAGACGGTTTACCAATAGGTAAAGGATACGCCGGAGTCCCACAAGGAAGGCGGGGAGACCGAGGACGCCTGGTGCTGCAGCCGTTTCACCCCAAGACTTCCTCATTCCCGGACAGCGTTTCGCTGAGACGGTCTACCAGTTGGAAAAGGACACGCCAGAGTCCCACAAGGGGGGCGGGGAGCCCGAGGACGCCTGGTGCTGTAGCCGTTTCGCCCAAGACTTCCTCACACTTGCTTCTGTAATCGTGCTCTCGAGTCGAAACTGGCTCCATGTTTGGTCCGGACTGCCACGACCCCTTGTAAAATAGACGCTGAGATGCACATGGCCGTGCTCTGCTCTCACCCGTGTCCTGGTTGCATCCCACTTTCACTAGCCGACCTCGTACATCTCGACCCGCCGCTTCACCTTTGCTGCTGTTAGGGTGCTTTGCTGGGGTAATGGGTTCAATCCTGGCGTTTGCCTCGATTTCGGCGTCTGGGGCCCGTCATCCTGGGCCCCAGGACCTTCAGACATGGGTCTGAGACGAAACACTATCCCCCAGGGGGCGGGGTCGGGACATCTGCGGCCGCAGATTCAAAGGCCGCATCGTCGGATGTCTGGGTGCCGAGACCCCCTCGCGTTGCGACACAAATCGCGGCCGAACATTCCTAGAATTTCCGGCCTCCGGGGGGCCCTCGTCAAGAAACTACTCGGGACGACACGCCCGTCCAGGGGCAAGGGTACAAAATTTCCAGGGGGGGCCCACGCAGTGACGAAACGACAACGCCCGACACCCGATGCCTGGGTACATCGGCGCCGATCCTGGCCAGGCTCGGTGCACTTGCCCTCCTGTCCGGGCCAGGGCGGCGCATGCACCGATCTTGGGCCAGCGGTTGGGCCTGGCCAGGACAGGCTTTGCGCGAGGGAGCAGGCCTGCGAGCAGGGCGTTGACCACTCGACACGCCCTGGCCAGCTCTTCGAGCAGGCTTCTTCGAGAAGGCCCGAGCCAGCTGCTTCGCGCTGCAGTCGGTGTGCACCCATGCGATCAGGGCGTTGACCACCCGACACGCCCTGGCCAGCTCGTCGAGCAGGCTTCTTTTTAGGAGGCCCGCGCCAGCTGCTTCGCGCTGCAGTCCGTGTGCACCCATGCGCGCACGCGTCTCGAACACTCACTGCATGGGGTGCTGCTGGAGGCCCCCCTCTCTCGAACGGCCAGGCCCCTCCTGGACGCCCATTGCCAAACCATCCGATGGACTGGTTCTCGCAGTCCGCGGGCCTCAGAGGTCCCGTCCCCTTCCCCAGAGACTCCCCTCGTCCCCGATGCACTTCAGGATGGCCCCTGGCCGGGGCCTGGAGACGGCCCTCAGAGGTCAAACTGGCCGAAATGGTTGGCGCCCCAGAAAGGGCTGGTTGGCACCGACGTTTTCGGCCGATGCCGGCTACCGCGAGGAACTCCGATGGCCCGTCTTGCGAAGCCAGAATGGCTGCCCTCGCCGAGGGACATGCGTCGGAAGGACCTCGCTGCGCAAGGGCAGCGGCCTTCGGGCCTGGCGAAGTCGCCACTTGTGGCGCTGTGCACGCGCAGGGTGCTGAGAACTGACGTCTGCCTCATCTTCTTCGGGGCTACAATATTCAATCTCATCCTCCGTGGGCGGCGCTGTGCAGAATGCTGTTCCTCGGCACGCTGTGGCGAAAGTCACGTGTGTCCCGGTGGCGTCACTGGCCTCTGCCCCAGCAGCGGATGAAGGGCAGGTCCCCACAGTCTGAGTGCGAACGGGCCCGTGAAACATCGGCTACACGACTGACCCCAGGCAAGAATAATATGTGGCGCGCTGCTTTAAGGGTCCGCGGGGGCATGTACGACCAATCCCAACCGACTGGTAAACATTACATCAAACTCTGCCACTTCTCAACTGGCCACAAAACATCTGGTACCGATTACAACATGCCATCTTGAACCAACAATAGGTTTTATGTGTACAGCATGTAAACACGATTCAGGTATCGCATGCAAGTTTCAACAGTGTACCTTCACTCTTGGAGACAACATGGCTGCTACGGTTGGCAGTGGTACTAGTTTACGTTCTGACATCTTGGAGCTCTGCTGTTTTGAAGCTGAGCAGTAGTCGCCGATATTGCAGGAGCTTTACGGCTGGCGTATGAAAACCGGACAGCCGTCTCCCAGGAGCCGTTGGAAGAGGCACGCAGAGTTTCAAGAGCCGGGCGAGCGCCTCTCCGGAGCTTGGCATGCGCTTCCGGGGAAGCCCCACAGGCGCCGCTCCAAAAACTGCTCAGGAGCAGGGGCAAGAACGGAGCCTGCGAGGAGCGAGTGGGCATGTCGGAAATTTCATGGGCGGTTCACGAAAGGAGATGGGAGCCCCCCAGGATAGTTCAACGATCTCCCAAGAAGGCTGGAAGGATCTCTCGGGAATCCTGTGAAGATCTCTCGGGCATCCTGGAAGGCTCTCCCACGAAACGTAAGGGCTTTCTCAGGGATCCTGGAAGGATCCCTCAATACTCCCAAAGGATCCCTCGGGAAATTTGTACGGCTCTCCCAGGGAACCTGTACGGATCTCAAAAATCCGGGGAAGATCTCTCAGGGATCCTGGGAGGATCTCTCAGGGATCGTGGAAGGACCACTCAAGGGCCTCGTAAGGATCCCTAGAGGATCCTGTACGGATCTCTCAAGGATCGTGGAACAATCTCTAAGGGATTCCGGAAGGATCTCCAGGAATCCTGGAATGATCTCCCAAGGATCCTGGAAAGATCCTTCTAGGAGAATCCCCCAAAAATCCTGTAAGAATTGTTCGAAGATCCTGCAGGGATCCCTCCGGGATCCTGCAGGATACCCAGGAGAAGGACCCCCACAGGAATCCGAGGAGAAACCCTTCACGACACCCAAAAGGATACCATTGGGACTCCATCTCAAATTCCTGAACCTCATGGAAGGAATCTCTGAAGAACCTCTAAAAAGCCCCGGAGCACCCTGATGAATCTGAAGGGATCCCTAAAACATCGCGAGATCTCCAAGAACGAATCTATGAGGAACCCTTAAGGATCTCTGAAGAACCATGCAGAATATTTGAAGAATCCTTCGGAACCACTGTGATTCTGGAAAATCACCAGGGATCGCTGAACAATCGTGAGGGATCACATGCGACTTCTGCAACATCACAAAGACATTATGAAGAATCTTGAGAAATCCCAAGGGATCTCTGGGGACCCATACAGAATCCTTCATAAACAAAAAACAGGTCATCCCGCAAATAATCTTTGACGGAATATCTGTCGCATACGGAATAATCTCTGAAGAAGCGCGAGGAATCTGGAAAGATCTTTCGGGACGCCCGAAGGATCTCTGAGGAATCGCCCCAAACCCAAAATAATCATGAGGAGTCCGAAGGACCT